TCTAACCTCATCGGTTATCGCCATTCCTTCGTTCTCCGCTGCTCTTTCATTTCTCGTTTTCTATGGGTTTGAGCACAGGATTGCCGTAACATATTAAGACTTTCAGGACAATTAACAAAATTATTTTTGACTCGCTTACAAATGATTAGATTACTTACTTTTGCTTATATAGCACGTGTTAGCACGCTATCAAGAGATATAGCGATGTACATTAATTCCATACAACGTCATAAGCTTGTGCGTTGCTTACGTCTACAACTTAAGTCTGTCTTAATGTGTAGAATGACAATCCTGTGCTCAGACCCTATCTCTGTGTCCAGTAGTAGTCGTTCCTTATATTTAATACTATCTTAAGATGTTTCAAGATTTCATAAATCAATCAGAGGGCGGTATTGTTATAATGTCTTAAGACATTACTTAAGATGATCCTATAAGTCCGAAGTCTACGTCATAGATGAAATGTTGGCCCTAAGCCGTAAGAAATTGACGCAATTACAAATTGAAAAGGTGGAATGTAAAAATCACCATTTTAGCCCTAAACGGACACTTTTAAAATCTTATGTTATCTTGAAAATCCATACATTCATAACAGTGGCGTTTTTAAGATGGTTAAACCCGGATTTACAATAGATTTTTAAGCCTTATGCCATAAGAAATGGACAAATTACAGTCGATATATATACGCAGTCAATTGTATACAGTATTGCTGTAACATTGCGTTCATTGCAACAATGGCCTGGTTTACAATTTTTTACAATTAAAAAATTTTTTAATTGTAAAAAATCATAATTTTTTCGAAATATCTTCAGAAATTTGGAAAAATCGTACGGTAATGTTGTAGAGAATCTTTTTCTCGAAAAAATAAGACGTCGTACGTTAAAATCCATTCATTTTTAAAAAATTCTTAACAGGCGATAAGAAGAAAATTTAAGTCACTAAGAAAAATTGTTTAGCAAATTATTTTTGCATGTTTCAATTTTTTTTTCAAGTACAATATGCTTTCTCTCTTCAATAATATCATTAATAATGGAAATTAATTTCTTGGAACCGTTATTAAATATTTTTTCCCAGCATACGGCATCCCGGGGTCTAGCCACCTTAAATGTGTTTCATGCGTTTACATCGCCATTTGTATCATTTGATACGCGTATCAGTTTAGTACGATACTCCTGCTTGATACGCTCGTACTAAAATAATCCGACAGCGTTTACATCGTCGTGCGTACTAAATGTTTATAGTACGAATTTGATACGAATATAGTACTTGATACGCGCATCAAGTGCACGATGTAAACCAGGCCAATGTTTCTACCTATGCTGTATGAGTGATCAGAGTTTTTAATGACATTTTATTCCCATACAAATTTTTTTTTACAAATGAACACCTCTTCGATGTTTAACCGATATAAATTTCTTAACAATATTATCCAAATTGTAATCAGTTAAGATCATCTTCCTCAATCGATAATAAATCTAAATCGGATGTTCTTTCTGTCACGATACTTCTTAGAAATAATTTTTAAGTTTTCTTAAGGGGACCTCTTTTAAGACATCTTACACACAGACGATTACGTGTCATTGACACATCACTACATCAATATCTTACTCACGCACGCCACACATACACATAGATTTTTGTATCGTAATTATGTTTTAATTAGCCATCTAAATCTAATTTTAAGAACTCCACGCTGTTTCTTCACGCAAACTACATGCCTGTGGACTACTATTTCTTAAGTACAGATTGCGCAACTTTTATATAAAACAAATATTGTTACGACGTGCAACGACGTGACAGCTCTGAAGCGCCATATTGGACTAAAAATGAGTAAAGAACTCAATTTTAAAATTTTTTATCGTTTTCAGCATAGATTCTATCTCACAGACACGTATGAATGCGTATACTTTAATTCTGTAAAAGGATTTTCGAATCTGTGAATGACAAAAAAAGTAATTACGATACAAAAATTATGCGATTTAGTCGGTAATACAAGAGGCTTTAGGATCCCCTTAACACGCTGAATGATCTTTCAGCACTCGCTATTCCAATAGGTAATGCTATGAACAATTGTAAAATCAATTCAACATTAGGAAATATGTTCATAAGTTTCTGATATGATCTAATAGATATTCAAGATATCTATCCAAATCAGTGACATTTTTAAGACTATTAAATCTTTGGTCTAAGGATAAAATTAAGAGGGCCCGGGTACGTATTACTATTAATTCAAGGAAATTCTTACACAGCACAAATCTCTGCAATATTGCAGCAAAAAATTCATAAATGTTTACCACGCATTAGAACTTGCGAGGTTCTTTGAGAGGATCCCGAGGTTTACAGGGATTCGCGATCGCAAGGCCTATTTTGGTGCGTCGCATCAGTTGCACCGACGTTAAAAACGCCCTTGATTCATACAAGAAAGCGTCTTATTTATCCAAGAAAGCTTGGGAAACCTTTCAAAAATCATAACACAGATTGTTTGAACACTTTGCAAAAAAACTCATTTTGTTTCTAATGAATGATAGAACTAATGATATGTTTACATTTAACACATATTTGACTATTAAATACTGTAAGAACATAGTATCCAAGAAGATTCACAAATATACAGGATGTCCCATTTGAAACAGAACACCGAAATATATCGAAAACTGAACCTGGTAAAATGTTTCAGATCAAAGTTGTATCGTTTGAAAGAGAGAGAGGAGACAAACAATGGTAAAATCAGTTTTCGAATAAAAAATATTTCGTGTGTGCGTGCGTGCGTGCGTGCGTGTGTGTGTGTGTGTGTGTGTTACTTCCTAATGTATTTATTTTATATAAATAACACAATTAAATAAATTTAATAGATATTAAAATTTTTTTAGGACCGTACTATTGATAAACAATAAACGAGAAGAAGGAAGCCTAATAACGGTTAAAGCTAGATTACAATGCTTATTATTATTATTATGTGTGAATTTTATATACCGCGTATGTAGTTCCTTTAATCGCGTGCCAAAATTTTTTCAGACTTACAACGCAACTCTAATGAACTACCGTAGTAATATCACTTAAATTGACAAGCAATCTAACAATTTTTTTTATGCTTATAGCATCTTTTGGATTTTAATAATATGTTGAAAGACATATTAAAATCTAACGATGTAATGTTAAAGTAATGATAACTCAAAATCTGTGAAAAATAAGATTGCGAAGAATATCACAAGTTGACGTTTCGTACCGGCTTCCACTACTGGACTCATCAGTAAGGTAATGTGTGTGTTGTAAATAAATTTAAATAAAACAATTAAATTAACATAAATGTTGGCTGGATTTTTTGAAATACGCATGAAATAGGTTAAATTTATTAATGAATTTTCGAACTGAGTAGGAAAGAAACAGAAAGTTAGTATGCGAAGCTTCTTATAAGGGGAGTTTTTGCAATACCGTTTTATCCAAATACGGTGAACGCTAAAATCACATATTATCTTTTTCTTTACAAATATAATTAAAAAAAGGATAACGTGACTTTAAAGTTCACCGTATCTGGATAAATGGTATTGTAAAAATTCTCTGATATCTTATGAAATGATAATTCCAAGACTCTAGTTGCAACAGCTTGAATTTCACGAGAAGATATAGGTGCTATTTTTGTCGGCATAGTCTATAATTATACAGCTTAATAGACGTATAAACACGCAATTTATTCTTTGCATTTATTCTCCGAATAGCATTTATTCTTCGAATTGCATTTATTCTTTAGTTAATTTGATGAAAAGAGAAATTTAATTACATACATCCTAACTTCTTAATAGAAGTTAGGATGTATGTAATTAAATTTCTTATTAAGAAATCAAACCTTCAAACCATTAGTATAATATTTTCTTAATAAGACTGATAATAAAATTATCGCTGAACTATTGCGCAAGTACCTTATAGTTCACATTATTGAAGCTCGGCTACATACAAAGAATGACCTTCTTTACACTCACGAAATAATTCATTTCTCGAGCTTAAGGTTGAACAACGTTATTATAGGTCCATTAAGGGCCTTCATCTAACTTTCGCCACGTATATACTCGGAATAATCATTAGCATTAATTTTGCTATCACTATATAGTAAACAAAAAATGACATTTTTAATAAATAGAAAATGAAGACCGTAAACGGCTTAAACAATCAGACTGGATATTTAATGTTTAAATAATTCGGTGTGAATTTATATACTACACGTCCAAACATGCAAAAACTAAGCGTTGATTTAATTCTCAATCTTGAAACGCAATCCTAACAAAACGAGATCGAATAGTGAGGACGCAAACAACACGAAATACAAGAGATCCAGATTCAAATACCGGTCAAAATACCATTTTTTGCAATAAAATTTACAGATTTAAAAATGCTCATTAATATTAAATTATATACAATATTAAAATCTTTTTAAGATGTCTATGAGAATCAATATCATCATAAAATTGCTTGTTAATTTAATTTACGATATTACTACTTTAGTTCTGTTAGGTTGCGTTTTAAGATTAAAAATTAAATTTGCCACTCAGTTTGCAGAATTGGATATGTAGTAAATTCACACCAAATTATTATTCAAGCACTAAAGATCCAAAAAAGCTTGAGTATTTAGCCTTTTTTTCCTATTTGTTGTGTATGCACATTACAGTCTAAAATAATACTTTATTTAATATCGTTTACAATAAATTTATCTGCCTTATATTCCAAAATAATTTCAAGACAAGATAAAATAAAACATACGGAAAAGAAAGGCAAATAAGGATAAAAGAGAAAATGAATTGATAAACCAAATTGGATGAATCTACAATTTCTTCATACGCGCGTATCTCTTATAGAAAATTAACTGAAATATAGATACAATAAAAAAAAGAATAAAAACTATATGTATAGTACATTCTTCCTTTCTTATTTGTAATTAAAATTCTAAGTTTTATCATGTGAATTCTCTTAATATATTTTAGCTTCGACTTTATCGTTTGTAAAGAACTCACATCCAATAATCCGTTTCCGAATATCGTCAGGTCGAGTGTTAATCTGCATTGTTGATCCATTGCTGTTGCTCATGGTCGCCATAGGTATATCGGTAGGATTAACGCGCGAATCGGACCTCGCCACCTGAATTAACAAAATTCCGTAAAAGATATACATCTCATTAGTTATTACATTACTGTAATATATTTATTATATTTTGTATCATTATCAATGTATAACACATTTTGTTATTGATTATTTCAATACATGTAAGTACAACTCGCTTAAATGAGTACTTCTCTGATTTATTTTATAGTATTGATCTTTTCTTTTATGTATACATTATATGCTTAAAAAAATTTACAATTATTATAAATATCGTTTAAAAAATTTCTGAAGCCTTTTGTTTTATATATTAGTGAAAGCCTCAAATGCGTTACCAATAAATACATATTACACATGAAGATACACGTGCATGACTTTAATTAATTCTAATGTAACGTTATATTATTTTGGATGTAGGCTCAAAATGTCCTTTATTTATAAAAATCTGGGATTTCTATTTTTCTATCTATGGAGAGAAAAATTATAAAAATTTTATGTTAGAACATTTTTTCAAAATTAAAATTTTTTTTTCTTGAAATTATCTCTTTATAGATAATTTTATTTTTGTTTTACAATTATCAAGTGCTGTTAATTTTAATATTAAAATACTATATAATGTTTAACATTTTTAGATTTTTAAATAAAAGTTTTATTTTTTATTATATGAATAACTTATTTTTAATATCGTTAATATGAGAAACAAAGGTTCACTTATTATTTTTAATATTTACTATTAGTACAAGTATTAAATACTATTATCTACTTATACCTGTATTCGTTCTTATACAACAGAAATTTTATGGTTTTTATTCTATTCGATAACAAGATAAAATTTACACAGTATGAAACACTTATTATTCAATTATATATTTTTTTATTAGTACATTGTCATATTTAATATTTAAGATAAATGACGTTTGATTTTTCCTCCTATAATTTTTTCAACATAAATAAAAAAAGAAATAAAGATCGCCCAATCAAATTTTACTTCAAATATGCCTTTAGAAACGCTTTAATTTTATTTATAAGAATTTAGATAAAAAAATGTATACTTTAATTATAATTTAAAACATTTTTAAGAAAGTAATTGAGACATAAAAAAACTTTTAGGAAATTTTTATATTTTAATTTGAGTAAGCATCATGATAAATTGCACATACAAATTTTTCCGTAAATTGCTTTCTTTTACCATTATAAGTATCGTATAATGAAAATACACCTACGCGAAACAACTCAATCATCTATACTAATGTGTCAAATATTAAATTCATTGTTATTTTTTATCAAACATGCACAGAAATTTGTTTCTATTGCAAATCAGTCTGTTAAATATCATCATTGTAAGTACTCACAATATCATTGCATTATAAGTATTATAGCAACACAAACAAAAACGTTGCAATATTAAACTGTGATCTATCGACGAAGATTTCGACATTGCTGCATTCCATTCCGACGGTAATGCAGCAGCACGTATTTACTAATTTATCTTACAGTGAAATACCTCTGCAGACGTTCTGAGTAATTTTCGAATTATTGCAGCGCAATGTATATTTTCACTCAGAAAACATTGAAAATGTTTCCTACAATGTTCGCTACGAATCCTATGGTGGAATTTTACAACTTCATGTATCAATCGTTTGATTCGATCACTCGATGAGTGAGTGTGCACCGCACCACTGCGTTCAAACAAGATTCAAACAAGATAACATACATGAGATATGAAAGTGATTGATGCATATCAGCGTGATCGCGTCTATTCTCTGCCAGGGACACGGTGCCATGTGACGCGACAATTAAATCACGCATCGATTCAGCACTCATCCGAAATTCGAATGTCCTTATTTCGCGTCCTTATTTCACCTCTAGAATAATCAGAGAGAGAGAGAGAGAGAGAGAGAGAGATTTTGCTGCAAATTTGCGACACGAGAAATCGTTGATTCTCCTTATCCTATATTTTTGCAATCCCTCGTTATAATAGTCCAAAAGATGAAATTTTTTCAATGTTATTATCAAGCAATGAATCGGTTTGACGAATATATAATTGGACGACAAATTTGAAATCAAAGATAGAGAGAGAGAGAGAGAGAGAGAGAAGCAATTTTTTCTTTTTTTCACCTTGTTTCACTGTGCCAACTGATGCCGACGCGTAACGTGTTGACAGGAGTAGAGTGGAGTAGAATAGGCAGAACAAAAGTGAAGTCGTCGTCGCGGCGTCGCGTCGCGGCGCATTATAGAACGGTCCGGGCAGCGGGCAGCGGGCGCCGCCCCGATCTACGAGCACCTACAAGAGTGGGTAGTGCACGCGGTTTTGGTGCTCCTCACGGCACATTGCGCGACTCGCAGCTACAATCCATCATCGTATATTATATAATTATACTATATACCCACATTCGTTTGCTCGTTATCTTGCACTGGGGTGCGTTCAGGAATTATGCTTAGATAACTCTTAGGTGTATTTTTGCTATAATATACGTAACGTAAACTATAGCCTAGAATTATCTAGGTGTGATTCCTGAACGCAGTCCAGTGCGTATACAGGGTGTTTAAGAAGTAATGAAAAATTCTGTCGCATATAGGGGTATAGAATGGACTAAACTGAGAAGAAAAGTCCTCTACCATTATACAATTTTCGCAATAGTTAACGAGATAATAATTCATAAAAATATCCAAATTGGCCCAGCCCACCGCCAAATGCAAGCGCGTGGCTGAATACGACCGCCCAGTGTGGCGCGCCGCGCGCGTTCGCCGTCGCTAGGCACACACGTTATTTATAACAAACGGCAATGGACGACCATTACCGCTTATTAAGCGGTAATGGTCGTCGCTAAATGTCCATTGCCGCTTGTTATAAATAACATGTGCCTAGCAACGGCGAATGCGCGCGGCGCGCCACGCTGGGCGGTCGTATCCAGCCACGCGCTTGCATTTGGCGGTGGGCTGGGCCAATTTGGATATTTTTATAAATTATTATCTCGTTAACTATTGCGAAAATTGTAAAATGATAAAGGACTTTTCTTCTCAGTTTAGTTCATTCTACCCCTATGCGACAGAATTTTTTATTACTTCTCAAACACCCTGTACCATATAGTATGTATGTATACCACGAGCTATTAAAGATATCGTGCCACGAAACTTATCCGTTGCAGATCAGGACAAAAATATTTCATCTAATCACGCTACAATATTCAGCGCATTCCTCCCGTTCATTTTAAAATTATACAATATCATTATCTTTCGAAAATGCAATTCGAATATATCTTGTAATTAAACGTGTGTACGATTTATGTTTTAGAAGATTATTATTAGCTTAGAGAAATATGTATCATAGAATTCTTTTTTGCGAAATCTTGTTGATATTACTCTTCCTCTAATCTAAATTATAAAATTCGTCCGCTGTAGATCGAGATAAAAATATTTCACCAGATCACGCATCGACTATACGTGATTAGAGATTTATAATAAATTAGTTTTAATTATAAAAATAATTATAAAATATTTCTCTCTCTCTCTCTCTCTCTCTCTCTCTCTCTCTCTCTCTCTGTCAAAAATAAAAGCTTTTGAAAAAAGTTGTTTAATTTTTAAATAAAAGAGGAAAGAATGTTTAAGATATATGTATCGAATAAATTTCGTAATAAAGTACTTATTTTAGTACGCTAATGGAAGAACAATTATTGATAAAATTTTACATGATGATATTTTAGAGATATAATTCTTTGATAACAATGTTTTAAAAAAGAATCATTCAATTATACATTTAGTATACACAGGGTGTTTGATAAGTAATGAAACATATTCCGTACAGGGGGTAGAATGGACTAAACTGAGAAGAAAAGTCCTGTACCATTTTACAATTGTCACAGTAGTTAACGAGATATTAATTTATAAAAATATTTAAATTCGCCCGGCCTACCGTCAAATGCAAGCGTGCAGCTGGATAGGACCGCCCAGCAAAGCGCGCTGCGCGCGTGTCTTCGCTAGGCACGCGTTGTTTATAAAAAAATACCAGAAGATATGTCTAGCAACGAACATTGTCGCTTGTATAAACAACGCGTGCCTAGCGACGGTGAACGCGCGCGGAGCGCTTTGCTGAGCGGACCTAGACTAGATACCAGAGAAGCGCAACCGATGTTCCGCGTCCTGATTCGCTGATGACTGTCAGCCAATCATGACATTCATTCATTGGTATTAAAAATGGTTGACTAATAGACGATTGGTGGATTTCATATTTCGTTGGCAAACGACGCCATTTTTATTACTTTTCTTAGTAATTTTGCGATACTGACTTAAGCCGGTTGCGCTTCTCACCCATCAGTCCCATCACCCATAGTCAACACTGTGCTCCCCGCTTAAGGCATATCGCACATGAAATGCATAACTGTGCATAAGCATAACATAAGGCCGCTGGACCAATGAGCATCTTATGTTAATCAATATGGCGTCTTTATACTGGATGGTCATTGGTCCAGCGGCCTTATGTTATGCTTATGCACAGTTATGCATTTCATGTACGACAGGCCTAAAGGCCGCAGCACACACTTTTACGTAACGCATAAAGCATGTGCATAAGGAATTTCATTGGTCCATTTTCTTATGCATGAGTCAATGGACCAATCAAATTCTTTATGTATATGGTTTATGCATTATGCAAAAGTCTGTGCTCCCCGCTTTACCATGACTTTTCACGGGATGCGATCGTTCACTTCACATCCCTTTCCTATATGCTCTCACTCGTCCATCCTATATTTCTCTCTCCATCCCCTCCTCTACCTAAAATCATCCGACTTTTCATACAAAACGAGAATATGATGACGAATTTTTATTGTTAATAAGATTCTAACAAAAAGAACAAGCGACAGCTGAAACCTTCATCTTCTTCTTCTTCTTTAAATAGCCCCGCAATCTTGAACAGACTGATACTGAGCTACTGAGGTCCGTGAAAAATGGAAATAGATTCAAAATTCTAAATACAAAGCACTGGCAGCCTCGAAACCGGGCAGATATGAGTGAATGATGCAATAACGAATAAAAATGGCGCCCCCCCCCCCCCAAGCACTGGACGCCTGTGGCTACGCCCGTAAAATGTTCTCCGCACCGCACGGCCACGCGCCCAGACGAGTGAGAGGACTCTCGTAATTAGAAATGCAAGGCACAGTCGAAGTCGGCAACACTTTTCAAAAATATTGGTCGAGGCGCAATATAGTTATATCGAGACGGGGCGAAACAGTCGAGCTCCGTCCCGCTCGAGTGTCCTCACAAGACTTGACAGCTAAAACCTGTTACAGGTAACTCGGGCCATGATCTTGACAATATATACGTCAAAGTCAAGTTAATTGATGAGGTGACCATTTTTTGTAAAGATTTTCAGCGACAAGTTCTACTATATACCTGTTACAGTACTATCTGTCAATATACAATATACCCATGACGTACTGAATGACAATTTTACGCATTTGTATATGGAAGACAATTTACTTTCAGAATTGAGTATCTTTATTAACAGAATATATCGTATAACAATTATGTTGCATGTAACATGGTATATCTGATCAGATATATCATTCATCGTTTTTTCTACTTTGTAAGAATCAATTTCTTGTCGTAAGATAAAATCATAAATAATTTTCTTTATACAACTGCAATATCATAAATACAATATCGTTAAAATGAAATATTCAAGGAGAGAAAATAGCGAATTATAAATTCGCTACTTATAAATAGCGATTTATTTCAACGGCAGCTTTGTATTATATAATAATACTTCTTCGTATCTTATACATAAAAAATGAAATATAAAATTACATTGGATCTTTTCTATCTTAGAAGAAAAAAATAGTCGATATTCGATTTTTTGTTTTATCTCGTATTATTGCTTAAAGGTGTCATAATATCCGGTCTATGCAACTTTATCTGTATCTAGGCAAACCGTCACAATGCGAAACACGACACAAGTGATAATTTTACATGAAATATTCCATTGCAAGTTTTAGATACTTTGCCCCTTACGACTTGGCATAAACGTTATTCGTGAATATCTCTTACATGATAAATCTAAGTCACCTCTTGCAGTATAAAAACTGACTTCGTCTTTATCGCACGTTAATACGATACTTGCTGCATACATACGATCTAGTAAAATATTTAAAAAGCGAGTCCAGCTTCCGAATAAGTAGTAAATATTTTTTCAATCGAATTAGCGTATGCGGCTGTTCTCAAGTCGAGTCCGAGATTGAATTTCATGGCAGTCTTCATAATAGCCTATATTAAACAAAAAGTATTTAAAATTGAGTTAAATTTTACTTTGTCTACCTAATCTAATTAATTACCCTAGCAGATCTCTCCATTGTATAATCTAGACCAGAGTGGACAATGTCTTTTTCAGAAGCACCGGATATACGTTTCTGAAAAGCTTCGGATGGTGTAACGGGAATACGGCCACCGACGCGACCAAATCTACGCTCTAAAGATTCTTGCACCGATTCTGCAAAACAAATATAAATTATATTTTTAAAAGTTACTCGTATGCACATCAAACTTAATTACAATTTTTTTATTAAAATTTCTCTAATTAAAAAATAAAGATAGACAAAAGCATATAAGAGTCAAATACGAAATTATAGATAACAAAGTCATAACATGATAAAACTTTTAATTACAGAATCAAATAAATGTATATAACATATTACCAATAAACACGCGTATGAATAAATAAATTAAAATATACATATAAAATAAGATAATAAAAATAAAGAACATGACGTTTCGACTCTAAATTTGAGTCATCTTCAGATGTCACATTATTATACAAAAAGATGTATCTACTGAGAAAACATTAACGCAATAAGATTTGGTTTGTCCCATACATAGTTATAACTGTACTTGTTATTATTGATTCTTTTCCTGATAACACTGGTAATTTTTTCCGGGGAAGCAACAATTCTCGTTAGACGATTGGACGATCGAATGCGAAATGAACTTGTATTTCTAATATTAACACAAAAAAAATATATATATATTTTATGTTTCTAAAATCTATAATCTGACAAGCGAATTGCTTCTCCGATAAAAACTCACCCCTGGGTGTCGTAAATTCTTACTATCCATATCGATAAAATAAACGTCCAAATATTATTATGTCGGTGAGAATAAATTTGTGATTTTAATTACAAGTGTAATTCGTCGAAATATAAAAAGAAAAATAATCGTCCTAATGCTTCAACGTCACAAACTAAAATACATGAAATCTTAGCAATGCAAAGTCAGACGTTGTTTATAATTGGAACATATGACGTATGTAGATCCTCTGTGTCAGTCTGTAGGTTGAG